TTGCTTTTCACCTTTCCAACAAATTTTCAAACAAGAACAACACAAAAAAATTGACAACAACATCATGACTCAAGATATTCTTGCCCGTCTCGAGAAGTGTGTCTCTCGATTAGAGAAGATTAACTTTTCATCGAAAGGTGGCCAAACGAGTGGTGGCAGTGTTGGATCTTCAACAGCTCCACAAGTCGTTGCCTATGATGAGTATTATAAATCTCAGGTGGTTCCATTATTGGAAACTTGTGAAAAGATCGGAGGTGATCTTGCAAAAGCTGTACGTGTTTTTTTGAAGCAAATCTGATGATATTCATCAATTTCTGTTATTTTCATTCATTGATGATGATGATTTTGTGGGATTCGGATCCGATGTGAAACTGTATCATTCACTTCACATTGGTCGCATGAATGACCACTCATTCAAACACATCAACAACAACAACAACAAAATTCACACACAGAAATCCTTTATTGAAGCTGGCTTCCATGGTTTGAGTCGTGTCATTCAACTCTCCTCCACTCACAGTAAACCTGCCAGTGATGCCGTTTTGGGAGAAATTTTAGAAAAGAGTGGAATTGGTTCAGCACTTTCTCAATCTGCAGATTTTCGTTTTAAAAACTTTAAGAGTTCACTTGCCAATCATTTATATGTGGTTGAGGAAGGTTTGAAAGTGGTCTTGTGGCCCACTTCTACAACTGCAGTGAGTTATGTGAAGGAAATGGTGAATGCTGTTCAATTTTACACAAACAAAATTCTAACTTCTACAAAAGGAAACAATGATGCCGAGTTGCACAAGGCATTTGTGACTCAATGGAAGAATGCTATTGAGGAACTGGCTGTCTATGTGAAAGAGTATCACATGAGTGGATTGAATTGGAGTAAGAGTGGAGAAAAGGCTTCAGCCAATGCCTTGCCATAATTTATCAAGTACTTCTCGATCAGGAAGTGTTTAAGCCATGTGTTTTTTGAAACTAAAAACACTTGTGAATTATTGTGTGTGAATTGTATAATAGTTCAACAACAAACATTTTGACCCAACCGTTCTGGCGTCAAGACAGTGCATGTTAAATTTGGAATTTTTTTATTGTTGAAAAAAAATTCGTTACTCAATTTTTTAAGAGATGGTACGTTCCGTGCTTGCTTCATCATACACAAGCCTTTAACAACACATATTTTGTTATTGCTTTCCCAAATTCTGTGTTGCTACTCACGACAATTTTGAATCCAAATTCTATGGTTGTATCATCATTCATTTCAATTATATTTCCCTGATATGCTTGAATCAACATGTCTTGACTTTGTTGTATTAATACCATTGCTTCCCACCCATTCCATCCTTTTCCATGAAATCATCAAACCAGTCTGAATCCCCACAAAGAAGTCCACACAGAAGCCCACCTCATCATCAAGGCAGCCCACATTCACCTGGCCGTCGTGATGATAGATATGAAGAGAGAAGATACGACGAACGCCGTGATGATAGGTACGATAGCAGAAGATCCTATGATGATCGTCGTGAGAGAAGATATGAAGGCGGCGGCGGTAGAAGATATGATGACGAGCCTCGTGGAGGAAGATATGAAGGTGGAGGTAGAAGATATGACGATAGAAGAGAAAGAGAAGATGATTTGTAAGTTGTTGTTTTTGTAGAGCATGTGTTATGACATATCATCATGTACACCACCAAAATCTGCGAAACCTGGCACTCCACAGATTGCAAGCCGAAAAGTCCAAAGCTACATCCCTCTTTGTGGGTAGTTTGGATCATAACATTACTGAGAATGACTTGCGCGATACCTTCTCCAAGTTCGGTGTTGTTGAAAGCGTCAAACTCGGAGTTACAAAGCAAGGACGCCCTCTAGGTTATGCTTTTGTTGCTTTCTCCAACAGAGATGATTGCGAGAAGGCTTACAACGCTGTCAAGGACGGTGAAGTTGGAGGTCAAAACCACAAATGGGCCGTTGACTATGATGTTGGTAAGGAAAAGAAAATTCAATTAGGTATTCCACCAGCAGGACCAAGAAGAAGATATGGTGGTTCCTCAAGAGGCGGCGGAAGAAGATATGACGATGATCGTTATGGAGGTGGCTACAGAAGAGATCAAGGTAGCAGATATCATCCATACAGCAGAAGATCTCCACCATACAGAGGTGATAGAGGTGACAGAGGTGATAGACCATCTCCTCATGGTGGCTATCCAAGATATGGAAGCCCAAGAAGATCTCCAATGTATGATAGACCTAGAAGAGACCGTAAGTTATTGTGTTGACTATGCTTGTGAGGCATTATTTTGAATTAACCATTTGTCATGCACACCCTTATTGGGTTAATCGGACAATTTCGCCCACCCATTACGAATTCATGCATGTTTCTGAAATGATGCCGCTCCAACCTGATTGTATCACCGTGGTAATCGGTTGTGACCCTACCATGATCTGTGGACGACTTTTTTGGACAATGTGAACATTTCCCCACAATCTTGGATGAACAAAATGAATTCCTTGCATGAACTTTTCACTCCATTGTCACAACACTGCAGGTGGAAGTCCAAGAGGCAATTATTAGACATTCATTCCAAATATACCACAGAGACTTAAATTCTCAACAGCAAGCTAGTTAGAGAAATGTCTGAGAGAATATTGAAATAAAACAGATGTAGACTAACAAGAGAGAAGAATAAGAGAAGAACACATATTTTGCGTGAAGTGTTGAACAATTCCAAAGAATATCAACATGATCTTGATCGAGATTTTGATTGCGAACAACAATCAAATAGAACATCTTTATCATATCGAACGTCTTAGACCGAGTTGATTTGTGAACATGACCATATTGACATGAAATTTAGAATTTTTTAAGGCATGTCAATACGCGTTGATTCGAATCGAGAACAGTAATACTTGATATTGCTACAATCGTCATACAGAATGTCATTTTAATTCTGGGATGTCATGAACAGCATGATACAACAAGGAATTAAAATGATCATTTGGGCATGTCGATTCACAATATTGAGCATGAACGCTTCTCGAAGGTGCCTTATCATTGGCCATTCTTGCATTAAGGCAGCTAGCTCTGTTAAGGTAAGTACACTTCTTCATTCCAACACAGTCATGTACCTGTGACCGCTCGCTGTGTTCAACAAATAAACAACACGCTAATTAATTCGCTATTCACGCATGAATTGTTTTGTCACAAATGAGCATGAACAACCTCTTGGAGGAATATGGAGAATTCAACGGGATTTTTTAAAATAATTGAGCGGACTGGTATCAAGGTTTACAACAAAAATTCGCGAAACCACACCCAAAACGTTTTTGGCCTTGATCAAGCTGGTGCCATCATCAACATTTCAAAAAAAAATCAACGAACGAGTGCTTGGGGTGAGGTAAGCATATTATTGGTGACCTTTGACCTAATGGTTCACTTGCTGCAACAACGACTCTTTTTGTAGATCAGCATTCTCTTTTGTGAACCAGATCATCATATTGTGTCATCTTGCGACAGCATCATCAAATTCTGTACAAACTCCTTCACGTGTGGTATTTTGACAAGCCAATATTATTGTTGAGATTATATTGTATCACTGCACGACGGTAAGTATTTTCATTTTAATACCCGACTCTGAGCAAAATATTTGAAAATTCTTTTTCCTCCAACGGTTGCAGCTATTCAATACAATGAAAAAGCTTTGTATTCAACAAGCACAACGTCACTCTGCAAGCAAAAGCAGCCAGAGTAGCACTAAATCTGCTGCTGCACAGATCCTTGCTCAGCACAAGGTGAAAAAGAGTCATTCCCTTGCTTCGTATCAGGACTCTCTCACTAACACATCAAAGGCCAATTTTAGTTCTTCCAAATTCAGCTTGAGAGAATTTGAAAAGTTACTTGTGGCAAACAGAGGTGAAATTGCAACAAGAATTTTGAGAACTGGTCACGAAATGGGTATCAGAACTGTTTCAATCTATGCCAAACAGGATTCTTCCTCTATGCATCGTTATAAAGCAGATGGTAAGTCACTTGTTTTAGAAATTACTGGTTTTTGATACAATGACATTTGTATTGGAATATTGCATTTCTGTGTCTACATTCATCAATTTTCATTCATTCTACCGTTTGAACCAATCGCTACTCCATTCAATGGTCACTTTGATTAGAGAGTTATGTGATCGCAAAGGACAGAACTGAACCATTAGGTCCTGTGGACGCCTATCTTTGCATTCCTGAGATTGTCAAGATTGCAAAGGATAATGGTGTTGATGCCATTCACCCTGGTTATGGTTTCTTGTCAGGTATGTGTTTGATTGAATTGTTGAATGAATCTCAAATTTTGATTGTAAAATGATCAAACAATTTTGATCACTTTTGGTTTGCTCGGAATTTATAGAGAGAGCCGATTTTGCAAGAGCTTGCAAGGAGAGTGGAATTACTTTTATTGGACCAGTAAGTTTTCAATTTCATCAACGTTTTAATCTCAACTTTTCGAAATATTGTCAATTACTTGCATTACTGACCTAATCATTTATCATACAGACTGATGATGTCGTAGAGGCACTCGGAGATAAAACCACTGCTAGAAAACTGGCTCAACAAATTGGTATTCCTGTTGTTCCAGGTACTGAAAGTGTAAGTTGTGAATCTTTAATTGTCATCATTGAGTTCTGATTTGGGATGATAAAAATTGACAAAACTTAATCGACTAGGCCGTGACAAGCATTTCCGAAGCCAAGAAATTCTGTGCAGACATCAACTTCCCTGTCATTCTCAAAGCAGCCCATGGAGGAGGTGGTAGAGGAATGCGTATCGTTCGTCGTATGGATGATCTTGAAGAAGCTTTCCAAAGAGCATCTTCCGAAGCTTTGAATGCATTCGGAAGTTCAGCAGTTTTCATTGAAAAGTATGTGGAGAATCCTCGTCACATTGAAGTACAAGTATTGGCTGATAAGTATGGAAATGTGGTTCACTTGTATGAAAGAGATTGTTCCGTTCAAAGAAGACATCAGGTATGTGAAAAAGTTGAAATTTGTGTACATGTTGTTATGAACATATTGTTGCTTACTTTCATGGATTGACTCTACCTTAATTTAACAGAAAGTTGTTGAGATTGCTCCAGCTCCACATTTAGATCCTCAAGTCAGACAAAAAATCCTCAACGATGCCACTCGTTTGGCACGTCATGTGAAATATGTCAATGCTGGTACTTTTGAATTTCTAGTAGACTCCAATGGTAAAGATTATTACTTTATCGAAGTCAATCCAAGACTTCAAGTCGAACATACAGTCACTGAGGAAATTACTGGCATTGACATTGTTCGTAGTCAAATTCTCATTGCAGAAGGAAAGAGTCTTGAAGAAATTGGTCTCAAACAAGAGCTCATTCACGTGAGAGGAGCTGCTATTCAATGTCGTGTCACTACTGAAGATCCTTTGAATGGTTTCCAACCCGATACTGGTGTCATTGAAGCATTCAGAACCGGAGAAGGAATGGGTATTCGTTTGGATATTGGTTCAGGATATGTTGGCTCAAAGATTTCACCATTCTATGATTCTTTACTCGTTAAGGTTATTGGTAAAGGTCTCACCCATGAAGAAGCAAGCAACAAATTGAGAAGAGCTTTGGCAGAATTTAGAATTCGTGGAGTGAAACATAACATTCCATTTTTACAAAAAGTATTGTCACACGAAAAGTTCTTGCATGGATATGTTGACACTTCATTCATTGATACCACTCCAGAATTGTTTCAATTCTCATCGAGTGGAAACCGAGCTCAGAAAGTTCTTGCATTCCTCGGAGAAACAGTGGTCAATGGGCCAACAACTCCATTGGCTACCAATTTGGAACCTTCTCGAAGAGATCCAATTATCCCTGAAACACCAAAAACTGCACTTCCAAAGGGATGGAAACAAATTTTGGACGAACAAGGTCCTGAGGCATTTGCTAAGGCCATTCGCGAGAGCAAACCTTTGTTGATTACTGACACAACGATGCGTGACGCTCACCAATCATTGTTGGCCACTCGTGTCAGAACCAAAGATTTATTAGCAATTGCACCTTACACTGCACATGCCATGTCCAAGTGTCTCTCATTGGAAATGGGAGGAGGTGCCACATTCGATGTCTGTTTGAATTTCCTTAGAGAATGTCCATTTGACAGATTGGCAAGATTAAGAGAAGCCATTCCTAACATTCCATTCCAAATGTTGTTCCGTGGCAGTAATGCTGTGGGATACACCGCTTACCCAGACAATGTTGTTTACAAGTATTGTAAAGAGACTGTCAAGTATGGAATGGACATTTTTAGAATTTTCGACTCGTTGAATTATTTACCAAACAGTATGTACACTTGTGAACTTGTTGAATGACGAACTATTTTAATTATTATTTAATTCATTATTATTTATTTACTGATCACATATGTTATTTGTGAATCGTTCAACACTATTTGTTAAAATTACAAAATATTTTCTCAAATCAGTGGAATTGGGTATTGATGCTGTTGGTAATGCTGGAGGAGTCATTGAAGCTGCCATCTCGTACACTGGCGACGTGAGTGATCCAAAAAAGACCAAATACAATCTCGAATATTATCTCAAACTTGCTCGAGCTCTGATCGAAAAAGGCGTTCACATTCTGTGTATTAAGGACATGGCCGGATTATTGAAACCAGAAGCAGCTACAATGCTTATTGGAGCTCTTCGTAAGGAATTCCCCAACACTCCCATTCATTTACACACTCATGATACTGCTGGAACTGGTGTTGCTACTGCACTAGCTGCAGCTCAAGCTGGCGCTGATATTATTGACGCTGCCATTGACAGCATGTCAGGAATGACCTCTCAACCAAGTTTGGGAGCTATTGTAGCTTCCTTGCAAAACACTCCTCTCGATACAGAACTTGATTTGAAACAACTTTCGACAGTTTCGAATTATTGGGAACAGGCTCGAGGACTTTATGCTCCATTCGAATGTACTACCACCTTGAGAAGTGGTTCCAGTGATGTCTATACTCATGAAATTCCAGGAGGACAATACACCAATTTACAATTCCAAGCATTTAGTTTGGGATTGGCAGATCAATTCCCAAAGATTAAGAAAGATTATGAAATTGCGAATCGACTTTTGGGAGATATTGTCAAAGTCACTCCAAGTAGTAAGGTTGTTGGAGATTTGGCTCAATTCATGGTTCAAAATAATCTCAGTGAAAAAGATGTCATTGAGAAGGCCGATCAATTGTCATTCCCTAATTCGGTTATTGAATATTTCGAAGGAAAATTGGGAATTCCATATGGTGGATTCCCAGAACCTCTCCGAACCAAAGTCATGAGAGGACAACAATCTATTGAAGGAAGACCAGGAGCATCCATGCCATCTCTCGATTTTGACAAGTTGAAACAAAAATTGTTGCATGATTTTGATTTCAACGCCTCAGAAGCTGATTTGTTGTCATATGCCTTATTCCCTAAAGTTTTTGAAGATTACTTGCTTTTCAAACAACAATTTGGTGACGTTTCCAATTTGGGAACTCGTGAATATTTCAAGGGAATTAAGGTCGGTGAAGAAATTGAAATTGAATTGGAGAAGGGTAAAATCTTGCACATCAAATTGAAAGCTATTGGTGAAGTTGGAAGTGACGGAAAGAGAGAAGTCTATTTTGAAGTGAACGGACATCCAAGATTGGTTCTCGTTCAAGATAAGAAATTATCGAAGGAACTCAAGATTCGACCAAAAGCAAGTAAGAAGGATCCTAATGAAATTGGAGCACCAATGCCTGGTAAGGTTATTGACGTGAAGGTGAAGGAAGGAGATAGAGTGAAGAAGGGAGACACATTGATTGTACAAAGTGCCATGAAGATGGAAACTCAAATCAAGTGCAATACCGATGGTGTGATTAAGACATTGGCTGTGAAGGTTGGTGATGAATTGACAGGTGGAGATTTGGTGTGTGTCATTGCACCTTAATGATTGAAAGTTGTGACGTCAATAAAATTAATTATCGAATAACAATTTTCGCTACATTGGGATCATTCGGTTTATTCATTGTCCATCTGAGGTCTGTCAAATTCAAAGATAGCAAACACAGGAAGATGGTCTGATATTGTTGCACCTTCTTCGTCAATGTTGCATTCTGTCAAAGATGACTTCAATTCTTCGTTACAAATAATATAGTCAATTCTTGTATTAAGCCTCGAGGAACCAATGACCCTGTCGTCATCCAATAAATCATTGGGATGACATTGTTTCCAACAATCCACTTTCGATACAAGATTCCTTTGTTTGTACTTGTCATCATCATCTTGATCATAAAATTCATCATAGTCATCATTCTGACAATATTTTCCTTCAAATAAATACTCAGCAATCATGGTATGAGCAGGTTCCCAACCCCATTCTATTCTTTGATTCTTGATCTTGTTCCAGAACTCGGGTGTATAATCGTCATCTCTCATGGAATTAAAGTCACCCATTAAAATATAGTTTGCTGTCGTCTTGGTATTGACACTTTCATCATTTTTGTGATGCGTGGCAGCATGGCTTTTATGTTGTGTCTTGTTCATTTGATGGTTTGGTTTTTTATTGCTTTCCTCCTCGTCATCATGTTCCTCCATAAACTCTTCCATAAATTTCACTCCTCGTTTCATTTGTTTCATTCGCTTCTTTTCTTGAACATGATCCAAATGAGTTAAAAACACAAATGGCACATGAACATTGTCAATTTTCACTCCAACTATACATCGATCGTCAGCAATTTGTTCCGAAGCACCCTCAAGAATTTTAAATTTACTCAACACTGCATTGGATTCATAATAACCATTGGCATTGCCTTCAAAATATTCATATTGAGATTTTCCTTGTTGAATTTGTTTTTCATTCAATTCCGATAGGAAATATTGAAATTGCGAAGTGGAGACTTCATTCAAGCCAATAATGTCATAATCTTTTATCGTTAAATATTTGAGTAATCGATTGAGATTACTTTTGCCTTTGGCTGTGCAGAAATGATGAATATTAAAAGTACAGCAGGTGAGTGAGTCTTGCTCGTGATGGTCTGTGTGTATTGGTTCTTGGGACATTTTTTTTTGTGCTTGAACTTCCAAATTCGAGTTCCGAGTGCATTCTTTACAAAATTCAACCAAGTTTTGGTTTATTAATTATTTAAACTGAAGACATGGAATGTAGCAATCAACAAGAACAAGATCCATTCCAATTTCATGGACAGTGCAGCAATTGAAATGGAGGCTCTTGGTTTTCCAGACACACCGTTCGACTTGCTTGAAGGAGAAGGCCGAATCATGGAAGAACTTGGTTTCTTACTAGGTTCGACCACTGGTCTCGTTGAATCTGATTTTTCATATTTAAGCAAACCAATTTCTTCAACTGGAATTTTTGTAAAGTTATATTTTCCAAAATTGGTCTCATATTCATTGCCTGCAATCATGGTGAAATTCAATTGAGATGGATTACCAAAGACACTATATGGAACATCGAATGTGTTGTTGGCATAGGTTGAATACGTACTGACAGCTGGTTGTGAAATGGCAGTTTTGGTCGAAGCTGAAATTAAATTGAATTGAACTAAATTTCGATAAGGAGCAAAAGGAGTGTCTTGTAAAATGGTCACCAATTCAGGATACGAGTTGATCCAAACAGAACTTGTGTTGAATGGAGTTTTTAACAAGTTATCCATCAGAGTTTTTGGAATTTCAGTTTGATGAATCCAATTCAATCCTCTGTCATCAATGTGAATACTAATCGTGTTGTTGATGAATAAATTGTTAAAGACGTGATTATTTCGACCACCTCCAAGTAAGAAACCTCTATAACAATTATAAAAGATATTTCCAAAGATAAAGGCAGATGAAAAATTGTCATCGAGATACAAACATGATCCACCATGAGTTCCAAGACCTTTGACATTGTAAATTAAATTGTGTTTGATGATATTGCCTCGTTGTGTCCAATCACGTCCACTGAAAGGTGAAATATATCAAAAAAAGTTTAAGGTTTTGAATTGGATTTTGATTAAAGAAATGAATACTCACCTGTAGATGGCTCCAGCATCTCCTGTTGCTTTACAAACATCATGAATCTTGTTGTAAGAAATTTCATTATTATTTCCTCCCCACTGAATGGCCAAGTGATCAGAATCAAAGAATTCATTATGAGTAATTGTAATTCCAACTCCTGACATGTATACAGCACCTCTATAGGTTTTACCAATTCTGGTAAAAGCACTCACAGTATTGTTCATGACCAAAGTATTACTTGGTGTCAATGTCATTCTGTCACCTCCAGAAACTGAAATACCTCCTTGTCCTGTATTAGAAATTGTGTTATTCAATACAGTATTGTTATATCCTTGAAGAGAAACCGCTCCTCCTCCAAATCCATTAAAATTACAATTCCTAATGGTCACATTTCGAAGTTGATTTGCAGAACCAATGGCACCTCCTCGAGCAATTCCAAAATCCAAACTGTCAAATACTTGTGCATTGGCAGCTATGGAAAATAAGGCAGAAGCGACAGAAATATGTACATCAGTGTCTTGTTGAATAGGAGCAGGAGGCCAATAATAAACCATTTCATCATGTATGACATATTCTCCAGCTTGATCGAGTTCACTCAAAAAGTTGACCAGGAAAAAAGGTTGTCCAGTTTTGATGCCGTACATCACGCTGGATGTTTTAAAAGTGATGGAGCCTTCGCTGGTAATATCGGAGAGTGGTTCATTGGCATCTGAATTTGGGTGTCCATTGTAAAATGTGAACGAAAAGATTATTCCATTGTTAACTTACCTGCCCAATCGTAATAGTAAAATCCAAAAGCAAATGGATACTTTTCAAGAGGCCATTTGGGTCTATTCACTGCCAAAGAAGCATTAAAATTCATCCAATTCGTTCCATTGGTTTTTCCAACTTTTAAATATTGATCCACGACAATTCCTGGATCAGCAACTGGCATGGTCGTGAGTTTGTTTGGATAACGAGCCACTGTTTGAGGAAATTCCTTAAAAAACAATTCATTACCTGACGCCACTGAACCATACGCAAATCCACTCGTACGAAAAGGAGCGAGTTGTGAAGATTTGAATCCAGCTTGTGTTAAATTGCATTGCAATACATTTCCCTTTGCCTTTTCAGGAAGCATGTTAAATGCAGATGGATTGTTGGAAGCAGTCACGACATGCCATAATTTTGCAGGAAGAGGAACACCTCCTCTGATTTTCACATCTCCCAATTTACTTCCATTCACTGGTTTCCAAATCACTGGAGAGTTTTCATCATTCAACAAGTTTGACTTTGAAATGGTCGTTGTTGAATTCACATAATACGTTCCAGGGTAAAAATTCACAATGAAGGTAGTATTGCTAGTGTAGCGTCCACTGTTTTTCATTGAATTTAATGTCGTGACTACCTTGTTGAAGGTTAGAAATGGTGAAGTGGAATTACCAGAATTAGTATCACTTCCGTTTGGCGAAAGAAACAAATGAATGGTGTTTGGAAATATCTGAGCAAAGGACCAGTGGTTTGATTCAAGTAGTAACACGGTGCATGTCGTCACGAGTAACAACATTATGATTCGAAGTGAAGAGGTCATGTTGAGGCTTTTTGACATTTTTTTGATGCCGTCAAATTGGTGTTGATTCGGATGTTGTTTCTTGTTCACAGGTTATATAAACCTGACGTAAAGTTGATTAGGAAGGTAAAATGAGGCAAGAATGAACCAATCAAATGGTGAGGTCGTTCAAAACAGAGAAAACCATGTCAAGAATCATTGATTTTCAACAACATCTTTCACGACCTGTTTCACTTGTTTACTATTCCTGTGAGGAAAGGTAAACAAAATCATCCACTAAATGAAAAAGGTGGGAATACGCATTTCGTCCTTTTACGAACAATGAACTCAACTACCCTTCTCATAACGCGGTTCATGTAGCCTCAGTGAAGATCAAGTGCAGGAAGGACCATTCTCCATTTCAAGAACAGCTGCGTCTCTATCATGAAAAGAAAGCTGCCGCTCTTCCATTCATCCGCAGTTTCAATTCGTGAGCTTGACATTTTCGGAATAGCAATTCAGGATACACTCGAATGTTGTTTCAAAACACTTGTAAAAAATTGATACATCATCCAACAATGATCGACTCATTCATGCCTTCGGAATCCATTATTCTTCACTCAATAGCAACAACAAATGACAACCAATGTCAGAGTGGTTGCAACCCTACCATAGATGATGCAATCTTTCGAGAATTAATGACTGATCCAACATTATGTTGTGATGAAATTGTTTCCGATTCAAATCTTCTTTTACAACACAAGTACGAGGAGTGCAGAAAGAGTTGGAATCGAGCCATTGACAAGTATCCCTCTCTCATCTTGTATTGCAACAGCCAATCTCAAGTTATTTCATGTATTCAATGGATTAGGAGGAAGAATATCAATATACTTCAACATCCCATTCGTATTCGTTCTGGTTCACACAGTTACGAAGGATTTTCAACTGACAATAAGGCAATTGTGATTGATGTTTCTCGAATTAAAAACATTTCCTTAAATGAACACCAGTCCACTGTGACCATTGGTGCCGGTGTGCAAAATGCAGAATTGAAAAGGCCCTACAAGAGGCAGGAGGTCAGTTTGTATTTCCTGGAGGTGCCTGTCCCAGTGTAGGAGTGGTTGGATATTCATTGGGAGGAGGTTGGAGTTTTGTTTCGAGAGCCTTTGGTTTAGGATGTGACAATATCATGGAATTGGAAATGATTGATTTCAATGGAAATATTCTCCAAGTCAATGAACATGAACATGCAGATTTGTTTTGGGCTTGTCGTGGAGCAGGAAATGGAAATTTTGGCGTCATTACATCCATGACCTTGCGAGTGCATCGAGTAGTACCTTCACATCCAATGGCCTCCTTAATCATGCTCAATTATTCTCATTGCTGTCCTGTGAAAATGGCTTCCATGGTGAATTCTTGGCAAGACATTATGAATCAAGCACCTTCGAGATTTAATGGAAAAATTAACATGTACCATTGTGGAAAGGATGGTATAGGTTTCAATTTGATTGCCGTTCTATTGGGAGAGAAACAAGAAGCTGTGAATTGTTTACAGGATTTCTTGAGTAAATGTCCGGATGAACCAGGATGGGACACAGGTGGACAATCGTCGTGTGTAGCCACTGTGGAGTACATGCCTATTCATGAAGTGTTTAAAGCCATTGGAGATATTCATCCGGAATATGAAACCTTTAAATCATCTGGAAGATTTGCGTCGAGAGATTTCACACTTGAGGAAATTCAAAATTTCATCAACATTGTCCAACACAAGCCACAGAGCTCCATCTATGCTGCCATTTCTCTGTATGGATTGGGAGGTGTCATTCATGAGGTACCAAAAGAACACACTGCATTTGCGTATAGGGATGCCAAATCAATAATTGGAATTCAAACTCAATGGAAAGATTCAAAGCTTCATGCCAACGAGAATTCAGAATGGGTAGTAGAGATGATGAAAAACGAAATAATTCCTCTCACCTGTGGATCTTTCATTAACTTTCCATTGCTTGAATTGGAGGATTACAAGAAAGAATATTTTGGTAGTGATAGAGAGACGTTGCAACGATTGGAACGAGTCAAGAACAAGTATGATCCATTGAGGGTTTTCACCTTCCCACAAAGTTTGTAGATGTTATTGATAACTTGAACATGGTTTCTTAGAGAATGTAAATTTGGCAGAAATGAAACCCATTGAAATTTTGAATATAGAACAAAGGCATCAACTACACAACGGGGAATATTGCTGTAAAACATAGCCATCAATTCGAAATTTACCTTAATGGTGAACATATCATGACTTAATGATTCATGTTTAGAAATGAGCGACCAATTATTATTACCACCTAATTTTGAGCCCTTTGTTGGCCGCTTTCACATTAAACTTTCCAGAAACATCACCCTCTTCTTCATCAATTTCTCCTCCGCGTCCATCCACACAGTAAATAAATTGTGACAAGTTTTCTGGAACTGTTAGACCTAGCTCCAGAGCTCCGCGCCTCATTGTATTCTCGTCAATAATCTTTTTCAGCTCGATATCGATTTCCCACTCACTGGAAAAATCATACACATAGGACATGTATCGATATTCATTGTTAAGTACATCATCGAGACGAACCTTACGTTCTTCCTTTCCTTTTTCACTCATGGTCGTGTCAGAATAAGTACCACGGTGTGTTTGAAATTTGTGCAAGTGGCAATCTGACCACGAGAATGCATTCATGATAATATCGTGGAAATGATGTAAAGTAGTGTTGAGAGTAGGAATACGAATCACTCGATGGAACTTGTGTGCAGGTAAGGCAATTTTCACTTCATAGAAATTGTTACTTGTTGAAGGAGATGCTTTGGCAGAACTGCTACTACTTCCGACAGAAGAATTTGCTTTGCCGGATTTTGTGGTTTGACCAGCAACCAACTTGGGAGCTTTTTTACTTGGTGGTTCAGCAAAGTCTTCATCTTCTTCTTCCTCTTCATCTTCGTCATACTCACTGTTCCATTCTTCGTCGTACGAGCTGTCATCACTATTTTCATAATCGCTCAAATCATAAAGATCTTTGGACACTTGTTCCATTTGACACCTGAACAACAAGGCGGAAAACCTATCCAATTGCCGAAAGGTTAATGGGCTTGTTCTGATCGTTTCACAAATTTCCTTCTTGTATTTTTCAATGAATTTTTGATCCGAGGATGGCAAAGGAGGGTCCTTTCGTTTTTTTTGTGCAGCCTTAGACTGTGATGATGATGAGCTTCCTGTTGTTTGCTTTTTTCTCATTTTTTTCAAAATAAAAATTGAATTTTTTTTACAATTTGATTTTCAAACTCCATCGTATAGTGTCACCCCTAATGTTGCTTCTTTGAGTTATCTATCGACGATTGAGCTCGTCATGGTTTTAATTAATTATGAATTGTTGTCAAAAAAAATGTCTACGTACTATGGCCGAGGTGGTTTCATGATTATAATTTTCATCACGTTGACATTATGGTCATTGGTTTGCAAACCAAATACGAACACTGCCAACTGCCATGATCTACTCTCCAACCTCCATTACCACCAACCAATCACTACCTTCGCTTTTCGTACAACCAAATGATACTCCATCACTACACCGGATCGAGCATAATTTTTCAATATTTAATGATGCACGGAATAATTCTCAAAATTTTACAAATTGCATGAACATAGAGACTCCCTGTCGGTCCATTGGCGAGGCTTTGAACGCCATTATTTATTTATATGAAAATGATTTAATTGAACGACTCGCTGCTCGTATCATCTTGTTAAGAGATGTTTCGGGAAGTTTAGTCTATTCCTATCAACAATGTCATAATTTCGATATCTACAGCAAGAACATTATATTTGAAGAGGTAGTAATATCTTCTTTAAATGACACTGAAACAATTTCAATAGATTGTTTTCATGCTATTTTTATAATAGGAACATCTGGAGTTACAAATGGATTTAGAAAATTAACATTTTCACACATCCACATGAAAAGAATGAGGTTTTATTGGAATGAAAACCCTCTACAGCAAGTGTCATTTCAACATGTGACGTTAGTTGATAGTAGATTTGAAGAAGAGTATATTTTTATGCCCGATATCATAAAGAAAGCACTGATTATTGAAGCTAGTACCATTCAAAAATCTAGTATCCAGTTACGAAATAATTTCTCCTTAGAAATAGCAAACTCTACCATGATGATGGCAAATATTTCTATTGTTTTTGGAGCCAATATAGTTATTTCTTCGTGCCACATTTCAAATTTTGAATTTAAAGTGCTCACCAAAGACGTATTTCTATCCTCACCACCTGCAAAGATTCAGAATTATGGATTCATTGTTGAGAATAGTTATATTGAAAATTCTAACTTTAGATTATATGGTTTTAACGAAATCAAGTTTAAAAACACACATCTCTATGCAACAAATTCTATATATCAATTATTTTCATTTTATAGCATGTTCTCCAACGTTGTTGCTCGATCAGGAAGACTACACATGTGGCTGGACAGAGTTAATGACGTCTCAATGTCAAATTGTAATTTTGATTCGTTGAGTGCGATCAATAGTGGCTCCCCATTGTTGAAAATTTCCTCCTGCTCGTCACTGACTCTTATTGGCATTATTAGCTCTAATAATATGGCCCCTCTTATAAGTGTTTCAACGGGTCAAGTGGTATATATTAACCACTTTACAGCATATAACAACCAAGATGGACCGTGCTTGAAAGCTGAATTGGGTCAAATAATTGGAGGCACTCTCTTTCGGATTAACGATTTTAATTTTACGAACAACAAGTGCTCTTCGAATGGTTGTGCCATCTATGTGGAGGCTGATGAAATACAAATGGATAATGGTCAATTGATGGGAAATCAGGGGAAAAACGGCGGTGCGTTGTTTGTTAGGAGCAAAGAACTACGCTCTATTATAATCAATTTCTTTAACAATGTTGCATTGTCGAAAGGAGGAGCCGTATTCGTTGATTCTCCTACAGTATCATTTGTGGCTTGCAGATGTGACGGTAATATGGCATACTTCAGCGGAGGGTGTGTTTATTCTCAACAACCAATTCCACGAACAGAGTTATATATTTTTTTCAATAACAATGTTGCAAAATCGTATGGAAATAATGTTGGAACAGAAATACAAGTAACAAAATATCAGATGAAAGTACATTATGGCCAATTCAAGGTGATCACATTTAAAAGCAATTATACCAGTGTTCCTGAAATATTTCTTTATCCAGGACAAGAACTTCCCTCTATAGACCTTGAAATTTGGGACGTTAGCAATACAAAGATTTTGTTTTTGGAGTCACCTTTAAGGTTGAAACTTAATGATACCTCCCAAGGTTTTTCCATTTACAATCAAAATAATTCCAACACTCTTTCATTAGAGTCACTACAAGTAACAATCAATAATGCGAGTCAACAAGTTCTAAATACGAACATCTTCATTGATGATCACACTAGTATAAGCATTCCAATTAACATTTTACCATGTCCTGAAAATAAGACACTCGAAAAGACTCTCAACGGATTTGTTTGCATGGATCGTCCACACATTCCCTATGAAATTGTCGTTCCAACAGTTTCTATATTGACATTAATATTAGCTGGCATAATTATTATTGGAACATATGGTATTACTCGAATTGTGAACTCGATAGCTTCCAGGCTGAGAACGTTAAAGGAAAAAGAGCAGGCTGAGAAAAGAATGGAAACTAAACTTATTGAAAAGAGAGTGGTTTTAATGAGCCACAATGAAGACCATGAAATTCACACAGAATATCATACAATGGAAAACGCACCATTGTTGATCAATAGCACCAGCGATGGCGGGTCTTCGAATTCAAAACCAAAAACAACTCCACGATATACCAATTGGATTATCTCAATCAATGAAATTGAAATCATTAAGCGGATTGCTGAGGGAGGAAATGGTACAGTCTATTTAGCAAGCTGGAACGGAAACAAGGTTGCTCTCAAGTCACTGAAAAGTACGGGTCTTGCAGGCGACGAAGGAAATGGAGATTTATCAGAAGATGATGAGTTTGAAAAAGAAGCTGCAGTATTGGGAAGTATGCGTCATCCGAATATTGTTCAATTTTTTGGAGTGATTCTGGCAGGAAAAAACAAGTACATGGTTGTCGAATATTTAGAAAAGGGAAGCTTGGATAAATTGATCCATGCCTCTAAAACAAAAGTTGAACCATTGGATATGTACAGAAAAATTGATATATTACTTGGAGTTGCAAAAGGAATGCATTATTTACATTCATTGAAACCGAAAGGAATAATTCATCGTGATTTAAAACCAGCGAATATTTTATTGGGTAAGTTGCGAAATGCTCTTCGAATTATATGTTGTGTGAGATTTATTGGAACGTCCATGATTTTGCCATACATAGATAATAATTTCACAGCCAAGATTTGTGATTTTGGTCTAAGCAAAGCATGGAGTGATAGTTGCACGAATTCTGTCACCACAAATATTGGAACCTTATTTTATATGGCAAATGTAAGTTAGTGTAATGAAGGTCTATGGTACTGTAATTATTGAATTATTCACGGAAATGAATTACTTAATAATTTTGTACCGAAAAGGAAATGATTGGAGGCGACTCTTCATATAACCACAAAGTAGACGTATTTAGTTTTGCAATCATTATGTGGGAATTGTTTTTCGAGGAGAATCCTTATTTAAACTCGCAATCAGAAAAGCTTTTCAAATTCATGGAGAGACAAGATGGATCTGCCGACACCTTAGGTGTCAATGTGTTGTTCAGAGTGATGCAAGGTGCCCGACCAATAATTCCATTTCAAACTGAGGATCAAATGAAACAATGGGTACAAGAATATATGCATGATGATCACACTAATTCGAAAACTTCATTGGAGACCTTATATCTCATAATTCCTCAATACATTGAGCTCATGAAGGAATGTTGGAATTCAAACTATCATGAAAGGCCCGAGTTTGGTGAGATTTGTACAAGATTAACTCGGCTCATGACCTCTTAATCATGAACCGCACAAGATAAGCGAGTTTGTCCTCTTCTTATTAGATCTCCGTGTTTCAGAAATCCATGGAATCTGATTCAATGGATTCACATTCTCGTTCAACAAGTGCGTCCTTCCACTCGCGAGAACATTCTTGAATTTGGGTGTTACATGAGAAGCAGGATGGTCTTTCCCAAGTTCACAAAAAATCTGAAACACCCAACAATAATGGCCAACAACACGACTGCCGAGACCAACTATGTTGAGTTAGATGATTTGAAATCCACACTCTTGAATGACGACGCTGCAGCAGATCCACGTACTGATTATTACGTTTCGCAAGACAAGACCATTCATACAACCCTCTCCGAAGTAGCAACAAAGAAACAGAAAAAACGAAAATTACGCATCATTCTCTCAGTGTGTTTGCTTTCTTGCTGTTGTATTGCACTGTGGGGTGTGATTATTCTCTTTCTTATTGGTTGGTTTTCAATCGGAGATTATTTATGGCACGTTGCTTTTGGAATCGATCCCGAACATTGTGATCTTTTCCGAGAGAGTACCATTGCAAATTTTACCATTCTGCATGATTGTCCTCCTCTCACGGAGCCACAGAGTCAATGGAAAGATAAATTATCCAGGTATTGGGTTCCTCTGAATAAGACTGAAGCTGTGAAATTTAACAGTAGAGATGCTGATTGGTTACCGAATTTTGGTGAGTAGGACTATTTCTCAATTTGTACTGACATTGTACCATGAACATCTTTCATGAAACAATCATGAACTACTCTAATTTTGAAAATGAATATCATTGATATCAAGGACAAACGGAGATTGTTGGAACACTGTTAAAACAAGATTTCATTAATTCAACTTCAAAATTTGTAATTGTTGTTCATGGCTATAGAGTGTGTCGTTTTCGGTATGAAAGCATGCTACCTGCGGGAATTTTGTACCACCTAGGATACAATGTTTTACAAATTGATTTGAGAAATCATGGAGATTCACCAGTGTTCAAAAAAGTACCATATGTCTCATTTGGCAGTTTTGAACATTTGGATGTGTTGGGAGGAGTTGATTTTCTCACACAACGTTATCCATTTCTTGCAACAACTAATAACATTGGAGTGTTTGGAACATCTATGGTGAGTAGTAGTTTGTTCATATTTTGCTTGGAAATGTTCTATTTGATTTGCTAATTTTATCTGTATGTGACACATTAGGGAGCTGCAACATCAGTGGTTGCCTTTGCGAGAGAAACCAATCTTAAAGTCGCCTTTGTGGACTCTCCACCATGTGATGTTTTTGGAACGCTCTCGTTTGCTGCCAAGCAAGTCGTTGGTTCCTCAGCACTCGTCGACATTGCTCTTGCCGCTGTAAAAAGCGTCTCGATGATTAAGGCACCCTTAATGGGATTTCCTCCATTCCACAATGATCCCAAACAATTATTGACCAATTTGGATTTATCTGGAAATAGAAAATTATTCTTTTTGCAGGGAGTGGGTGATTTAGTGGTTCCCACGTTCAATCATTATGTCTGCTTGAATGCAACGATGGAATCAGTGACAAGGAATGGTTACTCACGAGAAAATGTCGAGTCTTTTCTTGCAGACATTCATTATCCCTTTGAAGTGAAAGATCGAAAAAGAGATTATTGTAACAATCATATTGCATTCATGTTTAATCGTTTGAACGAATTTGTGGACATGTTGGGAGGATTCTTTACAAGGAATTTATAAATTCACTCTCAAATGAACACCTTACATTATTTTCGCGTGAAAATAGATGGCAAGAGAAAATAACATGGAAATTCTTTAAACTCAACAATGCAGCGTAGGTAATCTTTGACTTCGCCACTATGACTGTTGACATTTTCAACTGAACTTGACAAAGCAAAAAAAATGTTCAAGAGCACATCAGCAGATGCCAGCAAGAACATTTGGCAAGAGATCATAACACCATCAATCTCACAGTCATCTTCTGCTCCAAATTGTGTCGTCGAAAATTTAATAGCAAACGATCCCAAAGAACCCGAAGACAAAGATCTTCATGTAGTGCCAATTCCACTCACACAATTCACTCTTTCACCACAACATTCGGAAGATTGTATTTTTAAAGGAAAACTCGCACCAGGAGTTTATAAATTATGTTTGGAGAGATTGATCAACGGTGATGAAGAAGGATCGAACCTTGAATTAATGGTTGATGCGGGCGATGCTGCACCAAGTAGTTTACACATCGTTCAAATGTCAAAGAGGCAGGCAACATGGTTGTCTTCGGAAGTTCAATTGTTCAACATGAATGGAGATGTTCAACGGGTAAGTAACAAATTGCCATTCAGATTTGATGTCATCATCACAATAACGACACTGGAAATCGTAACATGAATATATTCATGATGGTTCAAAATATTATTTCAAATTCATTTCCAATTTGGCCAAATTTTTATGTGCTCAGGATGACTTTATCCGTGTTGTTGTCAAAGTGAAAGCAACCACTCTAGTGACCTCGTGTACCTTCAAATTTAAACTGTTTGTCAAGAAGGTCAAATTATTCGAAGAATCTGACATTCAATTGTCATTTAACGACAAGAAGAAAATTCAAATTCCGAATGTGAGTCCTGGAATTTACGAAGTCATCATTTCTCCTGCAGCTCTCACAACGCGCGTAGCTCCACTTCACGTTAAAGTATGTGCTTTCATCAAGAACGCAAAACGAAAATCATTCTTCCATAATCAAGTGGCAAAAGGAGTGGTACAAACCGATGGATGGATTTCTGATCGATTTATTGTGTATAACAATGTTGAACAACAGGAGGGAAATAGTGCAACTATTGATGTAAAATTGGTGTCACCAGAACCAAAGAGATCATCTGTTGCTGGATCGCCAGGAGCCAAGAAAGGATCCTCGCCAAATCTGTTAAATTCTGCACCAATGGTGTATTCCATTACTGTTTTTCGTATTAGCACTGCAACTCGTAAGTACCAATGCTCGTTATATTCATCATTTTCATCAACCTTCTACATTGGTGACGAATTCGTTTTCACAGCAAGTACGGCTTCCATTTCACAAACTGAACTTCACTCTTTGTGTGGCCACTTGTTGACAAGAATTTACTATTCTCAATACATGAAAAGAAATGTCAGAGAGTTGGATTGTGTCATTAAACAATGTGAATACTATTGCAACGTGTTGCAACCAAGGTGTTCAGAAGAGCAATTATTCTATTTTCAACGAATTAAGGAAATTGCCATCATGAGAAAACAATATGTGAGAGAAGAAATTGAAAGTGAACGATCAGTGGGAATCACTCTTGCCAATTCGTCATTCCAACAAGAATTGGAGGAAAAGAAGCAGTTTAATGCTCACATTTACAATGCTCTTCATTCCTTTTCTCAATTGTCCACTCAACCCATTCACACTTTGTTACATGACCAGGTATTGGAGCAACCATACGAACTCATTGTTGTGGAAGAGAAATTCCATGCAGGAAAGAAATGCGGCCCATTGTCCAATTTACTTAAACTATTATATGAAACAATTAAGAAGGTCAGAGAGGGAATTGAAAATCAACAACATGTAGACGTATCAAAGAACGCTCTTCTCATCCAGAAAATGAGATGGCAAAAAATTGTGGACTCTGACGATGAAGAAAACTGGAATTCTCGACTTGATCCAAACCAAGATGAAATGTTTTTCTTACAAGAACAAACGGAGAGTATTTTAAAAGCTTCCGAAGATGTGAATTCTGACAACAAGCAAGACAACGCTAGAGATGGTGAACATGTAGAAAGCAAGCGTAGTATTAATTTAGGTTTGAATGCATTGATGGGAATTGCATTGTTCACACACAATGACATTGTGCTCGCTCCGCAAGAGCCAAATTATTTATTTGAAAAAGTTTCAAGTGAGCACTTCCAAACCATCTACAAGCTGGCACAATTCTTAATCGTTCAAGGTTTGAAGCATGTCAAGAAGAGTGAAATCATTCAACAAGCTCTCTCCAATGCAATCATAACCCACCAAATTGATCGATTGAATTCCATTACTCAAGAATTTAACAAATATATTTCTGAGGATGAAATTAAAAGAGTGGACCAAATAATTGATGCGATTCGATCTGAAAATGTAAAGGGATTTGGATTCTTGCTGAATCAACAAGAGTTGACTGCATGGAATGCATCCATGATGTCCTTCCAACTCACACAATTCAACTATGATCATCTAGTCCGCTCAGCTAAGCATGAAGGCTCTCACATTTTTGAGATTCAAGTGGACACCAATGGTTTTGACACGATGCGATCATTCTTCCAAAACTATAACGATGACAATTCCGCTGAATGTTCCGCTGGAGTCATTTCATTTATGGGTGACACTCACAGTGGAAAGTCAATGCTGATTAAGGAGGTTATTTATTCAGAATCAAAATTGGGAAAAAACAATCCAGTACCTAAAGAAGCTGATGAATCAAGTTCCAGTCATTCTCCTACATCAGCGAATGTCACAGGATTTGCATGCAAAAATCGAACAAATCTTGAAACCATGCTCTTGTTGGACATGGAAGGAAGCAATGGAGGAGAAAAATTGCCGGAAGAGGAAGCGAATCAACCAAAGTTCAATAATGTAGAAGAATTAGAAGAATTTATGAAACGACGAAGACTTTCTGCAAAAGAACACCTGTCACGACTGGCTTACACATGCTCTGATGTTTTTGTGTACGTTGCTGCTCTTGACATTGCAAACAATGCAGCAAAACAGCATTTGTTGGAATGTGTTGCTGAAGAAGCTCCAAAAGGTGTGCGTGATATTTTGGAGCCATCTCTTTGTCTAGTGTTCAACAAGTGCAGACAAGTCTATGACTCTGTGGAAGATTCAACTCGTATATTTTTTGAAAATCATGATCCACAACGGACATTGTTAAAATTCTATAAGAAAGTGACCGTAGTAACCATTCCTGATAAGTATGCAAGCCCAACCTATTTTGAGAAGTCACAAACGAAAGGTATTCGAATGAGTGGAGAGAAATTATTCAAGAAACAAGTTGTCACGTTCACCTCCACCATACTCGACATGCTTTTTGAACAAAAACAACGAAAAAAGGAGCATGGAGCTTTGTTGAAATTTAACTCGTTTAGCGCATTTTTTGGATGCTGTGTAGATCGTTTGAATCATATAGAGCCCTTCATGCTTTCCTCTTTGATTACGCAAGTCTTGATTGATTCCCAAGATTCTGAACTGTACACTATTCACAAGTTCTTTTCCAAAATTTATTTATTTTCTCCATTGAATAGAGAAAATTTTGTAACAGCTGTGAAAAAAGCTCTGACACTTTTACCATTAGTGTTTTTCAGAGATTTATATTCCAAAAATTTAGTTAGTACTATTGGGTTTGAGAATGTGATGAAAAGAAGAGATGAGTATTTGAACAAGTTAATAGATCAAGCCAAAAGGTTCCTTCAAATGGTTGACAAATCTAAACCATGTGATTATGTGTTTGGGGTGCATGGAAACAAACATTGTTGCAAGACAAAGAATACACATGGAGACTGTCATGTATGTGAAAAATCGGAACCGATGACTGTCAAAGGGTTATTCGAGTTCAAGGAATTGAATGAGCGTGAATTGGTAGCAATAGTGGAAAGTAATTTCACAACATTAATGCACTTCTATGATACACAAAAGCCAACATCGTCAGAATTTGAGAAGATTATATATCGGTGTCAACATTTTGTAGTATTTACAACAGTTTCATGGTTAAATGAGAAGAAGTATTGTAACGAACAGTTGTGCTGGTCCACAAAAGTAGAATGTCCAATTTGCTTACAATTTCCCATTGGCGGAATGAAAGAATTATCTTGTCAGCATCACAATTGTCAATCATGCTTCAAGTTGCAGCAACTGACAACAAAGTTTGATAATGAGAATATTTTATTCTCTGAGGAAACACAAGTCAAGTTGAGCTGTATTGGATGCACTTTAAACAGACAGTAATGAAATGAATTTAATTTTTTCAGGAAATGAAAGTGTTGAGATTTTCACATTCAAGCTTTGGCATCTAATGTGCCAAACTTGATCATTTATTACACCAAACGCATATTTATTTTGTGCCTCCAAAAGTTTCCGTTACGCTTTTTTTTAAACAACAAAAAATAACAAAAACAAACAGCAGTTTGTCCTTCTGCAGTAAATTTATCAAAATTCCGACTATGAAGAAAAGCATTGTTGAAGCTGGTAATCAGACATTGTTATAACATTGTCTTCATCATGTTCCTAATTGGATCTTGGCTGAAATAATTTGTAGTCCCACTCCACCCCTCTTCGATGCAATTACGGACTCATTTGATTGGTCGAAAAGTGAAGGCAATTTTTGATTTCTTTTTGATCAGCATCATCAATTCATTCCATGTCCATAATTCCAAAACGGTATTCACGCGGTGTTCATCTTTTCAAGGTTTCACCAAGCCATGTCGTTTTTCCTAAAATGTTTGAAACACCAAAATTTCCTGCTAACAAATATCGGCAAGCATGAGATCCGCTCTCCTTTCATCTTTTGAAAAAAACAATTAACCAAGCTCAGAATGACAGCAGCAAGTAGATTTCTCGCTACATGCTGCGAAAGAGGCCTGGCTCGTTTTGTTGGCTTCCATCGTGCATGCAGCGGTTTGTTTCTGACCATCATGATACTAACACTGATGATCGTACATGATCCATTTGTGAATGCACAAACGAATTGTCCTCACTTGCAAGCTGGGCTGACATCATTTTCGTCTCTTCCCAAGTGGAACTTGGCTGGGTCAGATATTGTCATCTCTTCCAAGGTCAAGATGGATCAATCTCCTCAAGTAATTTTACGCTCCATTACTATTGAGAATGGTGGTGAATTAATATTTGACAATACCGTTTTGAATGTGGATGTTGAGTTTATTGTAGTGAAAGCTGGTGGTAAATTCATTGCTGGCTCTGAAACATGCCCAATTACTAACAAGATTATTGTGACCTTCTTTGGAAATCGAACCACTGCCAATGTGATTGGATCTGATCCCCATGATAACACTGCTGCAGGTTACAAGGGTCTGGCATGCCTGAGCGGTTCGTATTTGCAATTGTATGGGGATGTGAATAGACCTACTTGGACTAATCTGGGAGAAACAGCTGTCAAAGGAAGTTCAACCATCAAGGTTATTGATAACACTCAATGGAAAGTTGGAGATGAGATTGTGGTTACCAGTACTGGTAAGTTGAACAGTCAGCTTATTTCATTCTTGAACTTCATTCTTTCGATATAACGTGAACATGTTGTGAAAAAACATTGTACAGATTATGGTGAATTGATTGACAGTCGTAAGGCCTCCGGTCCTTCTTGGATGTATGTCTATGGCAATTATTTTCCAGATCAAAACGAAGTTCGAACGATCGCACAAGTAGTCAACTCGAAAACCTTTGTCTTGGATCGTCCATTAAATTTCACTCATTGGGGTAAAGACCATGCACGTGCAGAGGTTGGAATTTTGAACAGAAACATCGTTTTGCAAGGAGATGCCTCATCTGTGAATTCACAATTTGGTGGACATTGGATGATTCGAGTGGTGGAACAAGCTGAAATCCAAGGAGTAGAAGTGACACGTATGGGTCAGAAGGGTTTGTTAGGAAGATATGCTGTTCACTTTCATGTGGTAAGTTGGGAGTAGATAATTTCATCTTGTGTCAATACATACTCGACGGAAATATAATGCACTTATTACACATACTCACAGCTTGGAGAACAGTCGTTCTTGAAGCCAAAAAGATTCTTCATTAAGGAATCATCGATTCATCATAGTTTTCAACGATGTGTCGTTGTACATGATTCCAATGGATTACTCATTCACGACAATGTTTGTTTTGATTCCTTTGGTCATCAATATTTCCTTGAAGATGGTAGTGAAATGGGCAATGAATTTATTCATAATTTAGGAATTCGAGCCAAACCAGTGGCAAATGGCGATCCCATGCAAATTATTCCATCCGATCATGATGTCTCTATTTTTTGGATTACCAATGCGAACAATACCTGGATTAGGGTAAGTGTTACTTGTTGTTTTTGAACCATGTAGATAGATTACAAGATAACAGAATGCTGCAGTTGGAGGAAAATTTCCTTTCTGGTTTACCATGCCTCTGAATGTTGGTGGATTATCAAGTGCAAAATATGGAGTGAATAATATCTATGTGAGACCTCGAAATCAACCTCTTGGAGCATTTAAAAACAATGTAGCTCACTCGTCAAATGGTAACGGAGTGCATGTTGATGACATGTTGACACCAACTGGAACATTTGAAGAAGCTTCTTTTCTTCCAAGACTTGGTCCATACAATGGTCCATCGATCGTTGTGGAAGCTGTTTTTGAAGGAATTATTGCATACAAAAATCGTGGTTATGGTATGTTGGTTATACTGAAAATATTTTGAGTTGACGAGTGTTGTTCATTGAAAAATAGGTATTTGGGCTCGTGGCGGTCCCTTACTTTTTAGAAATTTAATATTAACAGACAATCGAATTCAAATGATTACGTAAGTGCTTCCTGCTTGTATTGATATTTATTAATTGTCCAACATTATTACACGTTCTTGTAGCCCTCCTGGTCCATCCGTTGTTGTGGACAGTTTATTCATTGGTGAGAGCGACAATGTTGGAGATAGTTCTTTCAGACCATCCGTCGATCTCGGTGGTAGATCAAGACCTGATCCCAATGCAGCCTCCAAATATCCTGTGAAAGGTTTTGAAACCTATGACAATGGAGGTCCACAATTGTTGAAGAACATTGTGTTCAAGAATTTCATGCCAGACCAATTTCGTCAAGCAGCAGCATTGGGACAAATGTCTGATGCCCCATTCAAACATCAAAGTAAGTGTTTGTATTTAAAACCATAATTCACATCGTACTGTTTTATTTTCAATCCCTGAGGAACAGCCCTAAATAGATACCTTAATTTAACATTTGAAAATAGTAATCGAGTCTATGTTTCTGAAAGATTCCTTGATGGCAACAAAGGTCTCTGCGTTCTTGATATTGATGGGTCAACAACTGGTTTCACTCCTGGAGGATGGCTTGTGGCCAATGATTCTCTCATGGCTCACTCCAAATGTATTAAAAGAAACGATTGGAAAGGATACAATTGTCCAATAACTCTCGAAGGTTATGGTCAATTATGGGTTCAAAACGTTGGAGGTAACTTTGAAACATCCTCTCCATATGGTTCAGATCCAAGTCTCAATAATCCAGGAGCCAAAGTAGCACGGATGATCGTTCACGATCTCTCTCGTCGTGTGAATAGTTCTGTCATTGGTGGAGTATTGGGAGGCACGTTTACCATGCAGAGTAATGTCATTTTGAGGAATTTTTATGCCATTCGTTGGATTTTAAACATTCCTTCACCTCCGATTTTGAAGTTTTTACTGACCTCCTCTGCAAATAATGATTGGGTAGTAGTGTCGGTTCAGTATCCGAGAAGTGCCGAATTGAATGTCTATTTCAATAGCCCGCAAGGAAAGAAAGTGTTGACCCGTGTGAATTCTCTGGGGGCCCTTGTACAAGATCCAATGCATTATTATTATGACTCGAGCGGTGAGCACTTGTATCTGTATTTGAGAAATAGAGCTGGACGAAGTGCTTTCAGTGAACGATGGGGTTTCTCAGCCTTCAGCAATGATGGATTTCATGTGGTAGTGAACGCTTCCTGTCCCAATGATCGTTGTCAAGTCGATAATCATAATTTGCCAGCACATTCTCAACATTTTGTAAAATTGTATCATAAGGAAGAACGTTATGCAGGATATTTAAAACCATTAGTGAAGAATGGAGCCAACAGAGGAAACGGAGTAGTTTTTGCCACCTTATTGTCCAATAAGAGAACACTCGATGTAGCCGTTCATCACGATTTAACTTTGACAGCTACAAAAATGGAAGTTGGTGTTGGTGATCCGGTCACTGATCAGGAAGATCGAATCATTACTCCACCCACTAATGTGAAATTTACTCCGTATTCAGTGTCAAGATTTTCATGGGAATTATCTGTGGATGATATGGTCGCATTGTTGAAAGGTCGTTTATTTGTCAAACTTTCGACCACGACACACCCGAATGGACATTTGAAAGGTCATCTGTATTGCAACATGGGCCGTAATTCTACTAACAATCTATACATGTGTTCTCTTCCAGATCCAATTCCCAAAGCTCAACCTTGCGATGCGGCACCATTGGATGCCATTTCCTTCTATGACGAGTTTGACACTGTAGACGCTAGAACCAAATGGTTTTTATTGTACTACAACAGCACGGCCGATGTTAAGGAAGGAATTTATAGTATTGCTTCAAGAAATTACACGAGTAATCCTATATGTGGAGCCTCCTCTATTTATGCTGGAATTCGAAATGGTGGTGTCATTATTGGCAAAACCTATTCACCTTCAACACTCAATTTTGTAGACCTTGGTGTGTACAAATATTTTGAATTTTTCGTTCGATCATTGACACCAGGTGAATTGAAGTTGAATGTGCATTTCACAGAAGTCGAGAATGGTATTGCTAGAGACATTCCAAGTTTATCAGTCGACACTAAATACATTCAATACTATACTATTGATGACAGTCGTGTTACACGAGTGAGAATTCCAGTTTCTGATTTGGCTTTCACAAACAAGACTTCCCTTAATGTCATTCAAAGAGTTGTGTTTACCATTAGCAATGGCGTTTTCAAGGAATTCTTGATAATTTAAGATTTGTTAAGGAAGCTGCAGATCCTGTAGGAGTTTATGATGGAGTGACTCAATCTGACATTGTTGGATTGAAAGGAGTTCCAGATCCTGATATTGATCCTCTCTCTGTTAGAGGTGAGATTGTCATACCCATTGTCGAACCCTCACAAAGCATTGTAAAACCAAAACCAAGCAATAGCACTCCCAAAAGAACAACCACCGTTAGCTCAGGGGCGAAGGGAAAAGCTCTTCATTGGTGTATATGTTTGGTATTGTTGCTTGTACTATTGTGTTAAACACCAAATTCATTTTCTTCAGGTTAATTACATGGAATACAGATCTAAAGCCTTGTGCAAACAATCACTAATAATTTCAATACCAACGGCACACAAGTTCCCAATTTGTCGCTCTTCAAAAGTGTCTGATTTTCCTTTCTTGACGTAACGAATTGCCAACAAGGTGGCACAACAAATAAGACAAACTCCAACACAACATCCAACGACAATACCTGCGATGGTTCCTGCGTCCAGTCCAGAATTGGTCGGAAGTTTGTCCACACACACTAAACGAGTATTGTCCCAAGCTTGAGTGAGTGAGTTGCAGTGATCATTGATGGTAGCACAAACATAATTCGATGAAATACTTGATGATGAATTTGAAATTTTACAGCACATGGCTTCTGAATTTGCAAACGATTCACAACAACATTCGAGAGGTTTCCGTTGATGATATCCGTAGATTCGCAACAAATGGATGATGAGCTCAATAATGCATAAGTTTCGGTAAAGGAATATTTGGAGGGGGTGCGTAAATGCATGGCTCTCACCGCCTTGATACTGTGCAAGAATGTGGTAGTTCATGTGTGAATACCGTCGAACTTTGACTACATCATTCCGGGTCCGAGAAAGAATTCAATGTTCTGTTACTTAGTGGTCGATACGGTTGTTTAAATGTTGCTTTCAAATTTACGTTCAAACCGGTGTTGGCTCATTCCTATCATTAAAAACAGAGAACACAAGAAGAAGCAACGGACCTGGAGTTAAGAAGGAGTTGTTCGCGAATGTTGTGAATGAGGCGTGAAGGAAAATAAGGAATGACAGGGAGAGGAAACATTATCAGGTGGGACGGGAGGGTGTTTGGTTGATGGACATGGTTGACACTACACACTGTGTTGTTGAGGCAATTTTTCTAGCGATGTAAGGTATTCGACACCAACAACAAGGAAAAGAGGAAGAGAATGCAAAATTAAAGTTGTTGAAGGAATTTAAAGCTAATGCAGTTGAAAACCCATTAGTACTTATTTTTCAAAGTAAATCTTCATATCGGCTTCAATTTCTTGTCTATTCCTAAAAAGTATACCATTTTCCTTTACCTTCTTTACGGATTGTTCTTCCACACCAGATTCATAAATGTAATGCCAAGTGAATTGAATACCACCATATGTTACTGAGTTTTCAAGCTTTCCATCTTTGATGAACTTTAGATCGTCCTTGCGGGCTTGTAACAACTTTCCAGCTTTTGCTTCTTCAGTTCCAACAATTCCATGAAGTATCAATTCGAGTAATGAGAAATGATATTGCTTTGGAGCGTTTTGTGTACTTTTCATTGCCTTTCCTTTTCTATCTAAAACATAAAAACGTTTCAATAAATTATCCATATCTGTAGTGCCATTACTATGACAATAATGAGAATCAACAGTAGAAATTGTGGTTTGTTTCAGAAAGATTTCAACTGTCTTCTCTTTGTACATAACAATAGCATAATCAAAGCTTGGGAAAGTTTCGGATTCTGGAATGAATAATACTCCCGTTCCTTTCAAGAAATTCCTTCGATCGAGAGAGCTTAAATCCTTTAGATCCAAACTTTCTTGTACGTTAATTTCATATGATAACGTGGATGTTGTGGGGTTTGAGCTCAACTTATTTGTTACATAGAATTTTCTATCTAAATGTTTACCAATTCCATACTCTTGTCTCACCAAGTGTTTTTCAAACATTGTTCCTTTCGCTGAACCATAAATATTCTTGGGTATGTTTGGCATGTCTAGTTTTGTGCAGTAGTGATGGAATAAACATCTCTTTGCTGGATCATTAATGATAAAAAGTTTTCCACAAGAATCTTTGTACAATAAACCCTTATCATATACAACCCCTGAAACACTATCAGGTCTTCCATCTAAAATACCAAGAGCAAAAAGATCTTCGAGTGTCTTTTCAAACTGTTCCTTCTTATTTTTGTCCAATGTACTAACTAATAAATCCAATCTTCGATCATATACACCACGCATATTCATGACAAATTGGTTGAAATCTTCATCAGTACCCTTTTTGCCCTTCAAATAGTTTGCCAAGTATCTCAACTCTCTTGGAATTCTTCCTGTTACATGGGCTATTCTTTTATCCTTTGGATTCAAACCGAAGTCTGCTACCAGTGTTTCAAACTCTGTTGTTGTTGGAGGAATTATTCTAACCAATCTTTCTAGGTCTCCTCCTGGTAAATTATCTTCAAAGGAACTATGAGCACTTCCACAATAGATGGTAACAGTATACGTCCCTGATGTATCTCCTGTCCATCTGGTAAAATCTTGGAAATAAGCAAGGGAAGCAGGAATCTTGTTGTAATAGTCAGGTCTGTACAATTCATTATGTTCATCAAACAAATAGAAAATAGGTCCCACATTTCCAATATGTTCGCTCAAATGACGGACCACATTTCTTGCTTTCTGTAATTCAACAATTTGGGTCGTAGAAAGAATGTCACTATTCAGCGAAAAGAACAATCTACGCAAGTAGTTATTGGCACCAACCTCCTGATCTGTGTTGTAACTGCTGAGCCATAGTCGACATCTTGGAACATAAAGTACTGGAATTGAATTTACAAATGCGTAGGCAACTATCAAATAAAGTGTATATGATTTTGAAACTCCATGAGGACCCGATAAAACCAATCCAGTGGTTTTTCCGTTAACAACTTTGTTAAGTATATCAAATCGTTGCTGAGTTAAAAGATATTTTGCATTTGGATTAAAGTCTTTTGGAGACATATCACTTTCTCCCGTTCCAAATACAGGAAGATCGATAAATTTTCCAATGAGTGTTTCCAGTTTTTTCATGTTCGTTGGATCTTGTAAATTACGGAGATGGTCATATCTTGCATTTGTTCTTTCCTTTCGTAAATTTTCAGATATTTCTCCTTCCAACTTGTGCTTCCAAAGATCAAACAACTTGGATGGTATATTAATTAAAGAACCTCCTTCGCCAGCCTTTCTCAATTTGGTAGTAATCCACCCAGCAACAGCTTTGCAAGTATATTCTGACACTGAAGCAAAGTCCTTGTCGCTTTTCATAATCGTGATGGCATATTGCATACATTTTTCTTCTGTTACACCTTTCACTATTTCCTTCTCTACGGCAGCAATAACTTTGGTGAGAGTTTTGACATCCAATGAAGAAACTTGATCAAGACTCAACTCAGCACCTCCTTTTGCAATTGGTTCGCACAATTTTTGTATGATTTGTTTACTCACTGGCTCCAATTGCCATAGTGAATATTGTCTGGTCATTAATTGATCGAGCACCCAAAATACAACAGTTTTGCAAGTGTCGGAGAGTTGAGGAATGCTATTCTTGTTATAAGTACTTTTAAGTTGATCAAGAGCATAATATTCATCCTTCTTCATGATATCCTCAACAATGTTGTGGAGAGATGAGCCATCAAAACCAGCCTCATACAAAGGCTTCACCTTTTCAACCGACAAACCAGCACCACCCAAAGATTCATCAGATGTCAATACTGATGCTACCTGTTGCGCGTTCCATTTCTTGTAATCCATCAAATTGAGAGTGATTGGTTCGGAGAATGAAGGTGCTGAAGTATTTGTACCATCACTATCATTTGTTGGTGCTTCTTTCTCCTTCCACCAATTTGTGGTGGTGTAAGAACGTATTTGGCCAAATGTGCTTGTTGTTGGATAAAACAACAATTTGTTGTTCGGAACAATTAAATTTGGTTTGTTCGACAAAGCAAAATTGAAAACACAATTTCTGGGGCAAAAATAATGTCTTGTTGTTTTGGTGAGGTTCGATGTGTGGCTGCTGTTGTTGTGGGTAATTAACCGTTGAACGATGCTGTTGGAGCCTGTTCTCTTCATTTTGGTGCAGAAAGATAGGAATATTTTTTTAATTGATGCTAAAAATAATTTGTGGAGTATTGCAAGTGAATTGTAGCTACGGTTGAGGACGAAGATAATGACGAAGAGGAAGAACAACAGCTAAGAACACCAAAAAACTTCTCCAAGGCTCTCGCAAGGAAGGAGAAATGAGAAAATGTGCTATCATAGCTCCATATACTCCACCACAACCACAAAAGAAATCAAAAAGTCGTTAGATCATACCAAATAACTTTTGGGATGTTCTTAACAAAAATTTGGGATTAAGACAGAAAACTTTTTAAACAATATCGTTTCACTAGAACGTTCCAAAAAAAATGGTATCTCCCAATTCCCACCACCTCATTCAATTTCATTAAGGAAGACCGATCTCAAAACTCCGTTCCGAGTTAATTGAGCACAGTATCTCCCTCTAAACAACAACAAGAGTTTGGAATTAATTGGAGGAAAACTAATGGGTTAGTTCCGAGTATTGAAAAAAAATATGGAGGTGAAATAGCTCTCTGCAATACAACATCGTCTAGCGCAACTAGACACATATCTGACACCCATCGACCCATAATTTTGTTGACATTAATATTGGTATTCCTTAGAGGAAAATTATTGGTGGATGCACCGAACGCAAGTTATGACCGGAGATCTTCAATGTGTTGTCAATTTGTCTATTGTGTTGCAAATTAATTCAAATTAATTCGGATATTTGAGTTGACGTAAGATATTGACTGTCAGGTGGCTAAGATCCGAATAGGACAAAAGGTGTTGAAACCTTGACCAGGATTAATCATGGCAAGGTTGATCATTAAAGAAAGACGAGGGCCCTTTCAAACCTGCAGCCGCAGCAAACAGCCATTCAGCCAGGATAGTCCTCGCTGCCGAAATTATTTTCAGATGCAATCAATAGAATCCTTTGGCATCCGGTTGAAACAGGATTTTTGCGGCTGAGATAGGATTTCGATCAGGTGATCAGTTTATTTTGCTGACTAAAAAACCGTTCTCCACAATGACGGTTCTTAAAATATTGCGTAAAATCTTTAGAAACGTCCATCCAGGCAAAGGTTTTTGTTCTTCTTATTCCTTTTTGTCCACTGTTTGATTTGCTTAATTTGGCAGATGAAGACATGATTGTTTTCATCTAATTGGAGAACATAATCACCAATGCTTAAATATTCGGAATTGAGAGTCATTTGCTTCTGGTTTTTCAATTTGTTGTTTGTGATAGGTAATTCCTCCAATGGTGATATGTGCGTTGGATTGTTTGTTTTTGAAATTTTGTAGTATGTTGTGTGGTTGATGTGTTCTGTTCCATTGTTGCTCCAATTTATCGAATTCCACAATGTCATTATTCGAATATTGTTTCAATTTGAATTCTTTTGTAAGTAAAACTTCAATAACAGGTATATTCAAATTAAACAATAGAGTATGAATGGTTGGATTCATATTCAGTATCTGAAAGCATGGCAAAAGTGCGACATGCTCTTTCAAATTCACCAATAACAATATAATTAATATGTTCTGGTGATGGGAAGCAACAATAATACTCATATGGTAATCTTGTGGATTGATCTTTCTCTTTGTTGAATTGTAAGCCAACAATTAAGGCACTTAAAAAATTATTGAGAGCATTCAAGAAATTTTCAGCGTTCAGATTGGTGCTGGAGCCACAATGTTGTCGAGCCACTCCATAAAAATTCTCGATCATATATTCTTGCAGTTGAAAAGGCAAAAATACTCTGTTGTTGGGTGATGATTGAACTCTATACATTGTCAAACACAAACCGATCATTAATAACAACAATAATGGATAATGACCTTGAAGTCGAACTATAAATTGACTCATCATCATCTTCGATGTCAGTATTGTTATGATTTGTTTCTTTTTCTTTGAGGAAGATGCGAACGATTCCACAAAGCTCTTTTGTTATGAACATTTGTTTGACATCATCTTCAGTCATAATCTTGTTTTTACGTGAAATCTTTGGTTTGGATTTATCATTTTCGGATTGCATTCGAAAAGAAATCACTGCTTTGATGATGGATTTTGGAAGTGCAAATGACATGATCTCTTCATCATCAAATAAATTTAGAACAGCAATGCTTCTGATAGCATTTTCTTCAAAAATACGAATTACTGAATTGATGTCTGATGGTGTGAATTTTATATCGGTAAGATAGTAATAGAGAAGATGAAGATCAGAATTCGTGGATGTATGTTGATGTGGTTGTTTAGCTCCACATTTGAATTCATTTCGGTCAAGGATAACATGCCAGGGTTGGGTTGGGATTCCTCTCAGTAGGATTTTTAAAAAGATTCAATATAACAATATATAATTTGTTTTTAATATCAATTAGTCCCACGCAGAGAGGAAGGAGGTATTAAGCGAAAGATTTCTTGTTGTTATAGTGGATATCGAGATGACCCCTATTTTTGTACTAAAAAATCAGGTCCTGTGGTGATTGACCATCCTCAAAAATTTTCGTTTAATGATCAAAACTTGAATATTTCCATCAATTAAGATATAAGGAAGTAAGGCGCTGCTGTTTCGTTCGAGCTGAATGTGAAAATAAGCAAATATTTTGTGCGTCCAAGTTGGTGATATGTAACTCTTGAAGTTGGTCATGATTCAAATATGGATGAGCAAAAGTCGGTATTCCCTCGAAATTGGATACCGTTAACGTTGATTGAAGAGTCGTTTCGTGATATGTTGGTCTTGAACAGCTTCCATGATGGATCTCCAAAGTAATTGTTGCTGTGAACCACACTTTTGATGATTATACACCCTCAATAAAATCAGCCATAATTCATTGATGCTGTTTTCATCATGGATGGAATATTGAATTATCGTTGTTGAGTCCTATCCCGAAACATTGTTATGGAATCTTAATGCGAGTGAGTCTTTTTGATGACTGAATCATTGAAATTGAGTTGAGTTTCTATTGTAGTTGTGAGTGATGAAAGTTGCTACTGTTCTACATTATCATCATAAAATGTATACCAGACACAAATGAACATTGAATTCATTTAAGACGATAGAGGGAGGTGTGTTCTTGTTTTTCTGTGTTTAGCTTCATTCAATGAAAAGGGTTGTATTGATCATGATGAGATTGGATCTAAACAATGCTACAAACATAATTAGATGAAATACAAAGAATTCAATGTTCTGTTACTTAGTGGTCGATACGGTTGATAAATGTTGCTTTCAAATTAACTACGTTCAAACCGGTATTGGCTCATTCCTATCATTAAAAACAGAGAACACAAGAAGAAGCAAATACAACGTTCAAAAAGAGCCACAGTATTTTGGAGTTGATTATTACTAGATTTAAATTTTACTCTGAACTATTGAAAAATTGTTAGAATGAGTAAAAAGAACATGGTAATGAAACAAGTAATACCAATTAAAGGCGTCCTTAAAGTAGATGCAACATCGGAACTAGCAGTAATAATTCTTGGTTCCACTTGAACGACAAACAAACTGCTGGAAACACCGGTGTCTGTTACTGCTCTCACATTTCGAGAAGGATTCAACACGACGTTCAGTCCAGTGTTTGATTGAACAAAACACGAGCTAGAAGTATTCGAATACTTGTATGGGAACATGGAAGGTATAAGTCGGAATGAAAAGCCATACAACGCATTCACGCCAGGAAACGGATACAAAATAGTTTCAACTTCAGAATTGGCTGCTCGATTCGTAATGATTGGTTTCCAAACATCCATTGTAGCAGCATTGAATTGAGAACATCCATATTCATGGTTTTCGGGATCATACGAAATGGTGGCTCTGAATTCTTTAAAGCAACACAAATAAGCCTCGTTCACAACGAGACGGTTATTCGGTCCGAGAGTGGATGAAGTTGTTTGAACTTGAGCAAAGACTCTCTCGCCCGATTTGAATGTTGTTTTGGGCGACCAATCTCCCGAGGCCAGGTACATTGTGGTTTTAAGGGTGAAATTCTTTTCAGAAGGACCAATAACTAGCATGTAATCGATTTTGAGTGGTATGAACATAGTGGCCTCATCCAACACTCCCTCTCGCTTTAACACTGCTCGGAAAAAGGTGAGAGCTCTGAAATCACTCACTTTTGTATTGGAGTGCATCTGGATTTGATAAAACCAACTTGGTGCATTTCGATACCAAAAAGTACTCTCTCTGACTTGATAGATGTAATTAGTATTGGTTGTGTTATGGAAAGAGAATGAGTGGAGAGTGGCATTTGTTGTTTTAAGGACCATTTTGACATTTAACACACCAGTTGAGGAATTGGTTGAAAACTCCTGAGGATACAAATTCACAGAGTAGGGCAACAAGGTGGAAAACTCGTCAAATGAAGAAAAAACGGTGGTTGTTAGTTTGATAAAGACTATTTGTGAAGTGGTGAATTGGTACGCTCTACAAAATCCGCCATTGTTCAAACCCATTTCATCCAAGTAATAGAGAGATAACGGAATGGTTAACTTGATCACATCCCCCAACATTTCCTTTTTCACCAATGAGTTCTCAATTAATTGGTCCAAAGTAAATATTGGTGAAGAGTAGGCACGACGACATGGTTCCACCATGTCTATTACGGTCAAGTTCATTCGTTGACCACCTTGAACGGAGCAAGAATGAGTGTCAAAAGAAGAATCTCCTAACAATGCTAAATGAATGAATTCCACATTGGGATCCAAAGAAAAGTTGTATGAAAATTGAATTCCATCTTCGACGACGTGTGAGGAAATTTGAGGATTGGGTGCTCCAATCGAATTGGAATCCCAACATGTTTCTTCACATTGAACACCACGAAATCCATCTTGACACATACAGCTATCTGGACCCACACAAGCACCTCTACCACTACACACAGATGTTGTATCATTTTGTAAATAGCCCCAACAAACAGCATGCTCACACTGACTTCCGCTATATCCTGAACAGCACAAGCACACGTCCCTGGAGGTACATGCTCCTCTGGACGAGCATGCATTTGTTCCGCTAAGTCCAAAACAAATGGGCTCGCATCCACTTTTATCACTTTTTAAGGCAAATCCAGGTGAACATGTAGGGTTCAATCTTCTGATTCTGTTACTACCTGTAAACAATAACGATCCTTGCGGAGTGAAGGTAAAAGCCCAAGGAGAGCCCATGAGAGCATCAGTTGCAAGTCCTCCATCACCAGAAAATCCAGGCTGACCATTACCTGTGAAACGAAAGAGCCGTTCATGTAGGTTAACTACAAGTTGATTAAGTCAAACTTCAACTTACCAGCAACAGTTTTGATGATACCTCCTGTGGTAATCTTTCTTATAGCACCAGTAACTCCAAAAAACACTTCTCCTGTGAAAGGAGAAACTACCACATAGGTAGGATGAGAAATTTGAGCAGATGTGGCTGGTCCATTGTCACCAGTATGTCCTTTGATACCATTACCTGCAATGGTTGAGATGTAACCGTTTCTATCAATTTTTCGAATTCTATTATTAACACTGTCAGCAATGAATAGCTCACCAACATGATAAAACGCATGCAACGGGTCGGAGAAAAGAGCATCACGAGCTAATCCTCCATCACCTCCGTATCCTTGCACGCCGGTACCTGGTTTTGAAAAAAGATTAAGAAAGTCAAGATATATTTCACACAATCTCTTACCTGCAATTGTTTCAATAATACCATCCGTTCTAATTCGTCTAATTCGTTGATTACCTGCATCTGCTACATAGGCCTCTCCTGACGCAAAGGTATGAAGTCCCCATGGTGTAGTGAACGTGGCGCTTATGGCAGGAATGTTGTCACCAGTATAGCCTTGTGCACCAGTTCCTGTAGAATGAATTCAATATATTACATTGTCCAGATCATATCAATAGTAACAATTCCACTTACCAGCAATTGTTGAAATGATACCAGAGGCATTGATTTTTCTAACTCTGTGGTTGAGACAATCTGAAAAATAAAGCTCTTGAGTCTCTTCAACATAGTACGATGTTCTTGCATTTGCTATTTGAGCAAAGGTTGCAGGAATCCCGTCTCCATAAAACCCTTGCACACCGTTGCCTGCATGTACAAAACCATGATCATGATAGCATAGAGTTAATATTTGTGATAATATCACTTACCTGCAATGGTTGTAACGATTCCATTTGGAGCTATTTTTCTGATTCTTTGGTTTCCTAGATCCACCACATAGATGTCTCCAGATTGTGAAACGGAAACACCACGAGGGTCCCAAAAAGAGGTACTTATGGCCAAATTTCCGTCGCCGTTAAACCCATCAGCACCTGTACCAGCAATGGTTTCAACAGTGTAGTATACTTCTTGGCCGGATACAAAACTAATTTGAACTAGCCAACTTGTGGCGAGTAAGAATAACAAGAGTTCTTTCATACGATTAATAACTTATTTTGTTTTTTTTGTCTGTGTCCACAGATGAGATGAACTAGGGAGAACAATTTTATGAGAAATTCACTACCTGGTGCCCAAAATATCAGTTGTCGAGGGAGCTACTTTCCAAAAGTAGGACCTGTCACTTGTTATCTTTTAAAACAAGTAAGTGCCTGAAGCTTGGTAATAGGTATTTTGTCTGAATAACATCACACTGGAAAGATAATTTTAGGTACCAAAAACCGTAAAGTCTTCCATACATTCACCTCAAATCGCTTGATGACATTCACAACAATTTAATAATGGCAACTTTCACAAACTACCAAACGCTCAGTTTCATTCGAATAGTTACCAACGTTTGATTATGATGTAATATTTTTGTTTATCATTAGGGCATGAAGAACACGAGACGGTACACAATGAGACGAGGTGACAGATAATGGCATATAAACATACTTTTTTTGGGACTGTCTGATCTCAATAACTACTTATCAAAAAAATGTGGATGGGTTTATTTGTTGGGTTGGTAGTTGTGGTTTTGGTTTGGGTTGTTGTCTGGGTTTTGGGTAGGTTTGGTCCATTAAACAAAATAGGTATGTATGCCATTATGTGTAATCCCGTTTCAGAGGAGAACAATCAAGGTTTAGGCGCTCCTGTACTCCCTGCGTTGCTTGGAGTGCTTTGAGGTGATTGCGGCACTGAAGAGGTTCCTCCTCCTATTGACGGAGTTGTTGGCAAGCTCGTTGTGGGTTGCAATTCTGTAGTAGATCCTCCTGTGGTTAAGCTCTTTTGTTTCTTGAAATATTTAACACATCCCCAAATACCACCACCTCCAGCTAGTAAGGCAATGACAGAGACAATAAGACCAGCAATTGGAACAATAATAGCAACCAAATCAACTACTCCTAAACCTGAGTTAGGAACGACCTTAAATTCAAAAACAGATTCTGCTTCCATATTTCCCTTATCCACAACATAGAACTTGAATTTGTTTGTGCTTTGTTCTGAAGCTTTTCCTTTGAGAATATAATTCATTTCATCAAATTTTACCCAACTTGGAAGTGCTTGACCTGTTTCTAAGGCTGCCTTATAAACCAAGCTCTCACCATCTGGATCTGTGAAAATATCTTTTCCTACTGGAATACTGAATTCCTTATCAACCTGTACTGACTGATCAAGCATCTTACTTTTAACGTAGGGAGATCTATTGTAAATAATAGTAGAAGGAACGCTTGCTGTTTGAGCGAAACCATTGGAAACGCTGATTTGATAGGATGGTGTCTGTTCTGCGGTACCAGTATGTACAAATTTCACTATACCTTCCTTCACTTGTAATTGAGAAAAGTTTGTGACCACACTCACTGCAGGGCTATGCACCTCAAATCTTCCATACCTTAAATTACTTATGGTGAAATATATTTGAGCGTCACTGGCAGATGAATCCGTTGCTAAAAGGTCATTTGAAGTAACTGTTGTGGTTTGTCCTTGTGATACCAGAATCTTATTGTTAATAATGACAGGGATGGACTTGTCACAAAATTGACCAGAATATCCGGCGTTACAAGTACAGGTGTCAACGTCGGTGCATAACCCTCTTCCGTTACAAACTAATGATGTGACATTTTGTGGAATTCCATTACATTTGGGCAATTCACAATATTTACCACCCCAGTTTGTGTCACATCGACAAATGTCAACTCCATCACATGACCCATGTCCATTACAAACACTTAATGATCCTTGGATATACCCATTACATTTTGGCATGTCACAATACTGTCCACCATAATTGGAATTGCAACTACAGGTATTGACATTATCACATGATCCGTGTCCATTACAAACAAGTGCAGTCATGTTCTGTAAAACTCCATTACATTTAGGAACCTGACAATATTGTCCACCCCAATTTGTGTCACATCTACATAAATCAACATCATCACACGAGCCATGACCATTGCAAACATTCGCTGCGCCTTGAAGAATGCCGTTACATTTTGGAATTACACAATTCGATCCTCCATAATTTGCCGTGCACTGACAAACGTTATTGTCAACACAGGTTCCTTTTGAAGGTCCTCCGCATGCATTGGAACCGTAATTTCCGAAGCATGTCACTTTAAAATCAATCACAGCAGGCTGAGGGTCCGTGTACAAATCTCCTTCACCAACTCCATCTCTAATGTAGAAATGAAATGATGGAGCTGATAAGCTTGTAGAAACAAATCGAACTTGTGAAGCATTAATATGATGTTGAGTAAATGAAGTAATTGAAATTCCTGGTGCTGTGACCATCTCAAAGTATCCATGTTGCAGGTTACTCACAGTATAAGTGATTGTGTCGTTTTCAGAGTCAACAGATAACATATTTAGATTAGACACAATGACTGATTGTTTTGCCTTGCTCTCAAGTTGGTTAACGACATTCCATGGTCGTGTGTTCAATGAATATTGCCTTGAATACACTCCCCAGTCATCTCCATCTTGTCCCATACTGGTCCATAATGCAAGAAAGTTATTATTCCTTGTCTGAACTATGTGATTCACATACTGAGTATCGGCAATGTAAGTATTCATTTTATAAATAGGTCCTAATGACGTTCCTGAAGTGTCATATCTTCTAAAAAAGCATCCCAATCCATTTCCATCATCTCCAGTCCATGCCACAATAATTTCTCCTGTGCCGTAAGTGAAAGAAAGTACGGCAAGACCTTCATGACTATATGAAGTTGAATAGGTCGCTATGGTAAAGTCATGTACTAAAATGTTGCCATTGGCATCAAAGATTTTTCCAATGACTCTGGGACCTCCTTCAGTATCCAAACTCACCCAAACAATGATAAATCCTCCATTCTTTAAGAAACTAATGGCAGGTTTTGATTGCTCGTTTTGTTGTTGTAGGTTGACTAGTATTTCAGTTCCAAGAGGATTGCCATTAGAATCGAATCGTTGAGCAGCAATACCATAAGAGCTTCCGTCATTCGTGTCACTTTGCCATGCTATTACAAAGTTATTATTGAATGGACTTACTGTAACTGACGGACCACAGATACATGGTTTACTTCCAAAGTTTTTAGTATTCACTTTGAAAGCTGAACCCGAAGTGTTGCCATTGGAATCGAAACGTTGAGCATAAACTTCAAATACGTTTGAGGTTATTCTAAACCAACTGATGACAAAACCTCCACCACTCATGGCAGCAACATGAGGAACTTCTCCCACATTGGAATTCACTAGAGTTTCAGAAGAGGATCCAACTTTATCTCCGTTTAAATCGAATCTTTGATAGTACACATAAGTACTACCAGCAGCATTGTCATATGGTTGACCGTTCAACGAATAACTAGTCCATGTAATCACAAAACCTCCGTTTGTAAGCTTTGCAATCTCTGGAAATGCTTGATACGATGTTGTTATAGTGTTCACAAGTTGTGGTGTAGAAACATCTCCATTAGGATAATATTTTCGAAGGTAGATATCCCATCCGCTACCAGTGATTTGTTCAAAACTCATCCAAACAATCACAGTCATGCCGTTGTCTAATTGAACACCTCTAGCTTCAGTCTGCTTGTTGGTAGTATAGGTATTCACTCGATATTCACTTCCAACAGGTCTGTAATCGTATTCAAGATTGGATGCGAATGATTTTCGAGTTTCCTTCACAGCCATGGATAAATGAATTTTCTTGGATACATCATCGTCCTGGTTGGAATGATGAAAAACAGTGGTGCCTTGTAAAACGATCAAAGAAAATGAGAACACTCCAAGCAAGACCAACCACAATTTCGAAAGAAAGATTTTCTTGTTCAGAAAAACACGATGAGCTTCTTCATCGTAACAAGTATTACCACTCAAAAGAGACATAAATGTGTTGCTACCAAGTGCCGTAAAATCAAAGAGTTTTTTTCTTGTGTCCTATTTATCTCATGTCTCACACACAACAGCGGTTGTTCTTGCTCATTTTGGAATGCATCAAATGTCAGATTACACGTCAGCAAAAAACTTTCCTAATGAATCAATTTATCAAGCTGTCTGCTGAGCAAGATTGAAAGCTCACTACAACCTACACCAAAGAAAATGATAGCTACGCTCTCCAACCAATCAGAAAAAACACTGCCTTTGAACAACAGCACACGACCAAGAGTTGTTACACTTTGGCACCTTACACCTTACACTTAGTGTCAGTGCTGTTTGCATTTGACACTTGAGTGTAAGGTGCGAAATGGATGTTGATTGAAATGGAGGTACTAGTTTGTGAACATAACCATTCTACTTTGTGTTCATATAAAAAGGTCAATAACGAATCTATCAAACAAAAAAAAGGCATGATTTAATCTCATGCATCTACTTTCCTTACGTATATTAGCTTGGACCTTCGTATGAAAGGAGCTAGGAGGCACAAAAGATGATATGTTCCTTTCATTCATGATGATAGACTCAGCCGTTAAGAAGTATGACTACGAAACAAAAAGTGATTCCAGTTCCCTTAATTGTACCCTTCTGATTGCTTCAGCTTGACTTTTGCTGTTACCGTCATTCCCAAATCACTCAAATTCGATTACATCAGCCAACAACAGTGTTGAGCACCATTCTCTTGTTCTTCTCACCGTTTTTGTAACAATTGAACAAAAGTACATGTCACTATGAAGAAAAGCTGGCAAGTTTCACTCCCCTGTTGAACCAAATGAAAATGTTTTCCTGTACTGCAATTGTTTTTCCTCAACATAAATCGTCTCTCAAGTTCATTCAGCAAGCTCTGACATCCTGTTCGACCACTTCGAGGGCCCTGACAAATCCGCAGCCAGAGCCCACGCATCCTCAGCCGATCATGCAACTTCAGGATTCGACTGATCCTGATCCAAAAATAAAAATCCAGAAATCGCTGGAGCGGATCCTCCGCTTTTCCACTGAAAGTTGGAACAAATCGAAGTCGATGTTTTGTTGTCTTTGGAAGAAGACCGTTAGCACATCAATTCATGAGGCCTTGCAACATCACCAGAAGAGACAGCCAACACCACCCAGCAAGCATAGACCCAGCATTATTTCATCAGCATTGAATTTGTCCCAAAGTCACTTTACACCAGGACTTGTTCCGGTCCGAAGAAAACAAACAGCAAAAAGACCATCTCTATAATCATTGAAGACAAACAATTTAACAAACGACAGTCTTTGGTCTGTGAATACTTCTTGAAACTTGTCGCGAGTTCGACCGTTTCTACAAAACAAAACACCATCTGATCATTACTCTTTACTTGAAATCGACGAACAACCAAACCACTTGGTGGAGGAAGATCAATTCAGTTGTCGAATAACGAATTCATTAAAACGAAAGTTTTTATTGCAAAATCCTGATTTTTGGATTGAATCGGATCCACCGCCCTGCAGCCGTTTGAAAAATGAGAGCCGCTGGATCCGGTGCCACTGCGTGGGCTCTGGCTGCGGATTTGTCCGGGCCCTCACCACTTCATAACAATCTCTTTCAACGCCGTGTTGTATGGCGCAACATCAACTCAGAAAACAGGTGCTGAACGGTGGAACATTATTTGAACCACTTGCCTCACAACGCTTCACCTTAGAAGTCAGAGCGTGAGTCAATTCTTGGGTTTGGCTCCACCTACTCTTTTTTTTGAGCCATTTTAACGACTTTACTATCAAAAAAAAATTTTGATTTCAATAAGTCCTGTCCACGGTCCGAAGTTAACTGCTGAGGACGAGATATACTCAAATCCTAGGCTAATTTTCATTTGCTTTCTAATGGTGTTGAAATTTCTAAGAGATGTGAAGTGGTTGTTGGGTTATTTCACTCTGAATTTTGAAGGTAAATTGGCCCAAAAAAAAATTTAATGTTGTAAATGAAGAGAGGATGATTATTTATTATCGGACTGGTATTTCAAACTGTAAAACCAGAGAGAAGCAATGAAATTGGAACACAAGGTTTTTGAGGACTTGATTTGTTCTGAACGTAGTGAAGGGCAGGAATGTTTCGATTGTAAACAATAAAAGAGTTTGGGTTGAGTATTCGAAATAATTTTCATGCTCAAAAAATTTTCTGCATACTAGTACTTCGTCTCCCTTTGCTTTGCTTACTGACTTGCTGTCATCATCCGTGGTTCTATTATTCTTTACTCTCATATTCAACCATATCATCTCATCAACGATACCACATATAACATAAAAGCAACTCAAATAGCTTTCATCATGTGAAATATGTTCTTGTTGTCTGACACTTCCATTCATCAATTATTCACCACGGAACTCTTTTTTCTCCCGAGCCAACGACAACTGTTCTCGCATCATTCGAATTTGATTACTTTCAGTTTGTTTTCCACACTTTAGCATCGAACTCCATTAGCTATAGTACCTACAGCATTAACGTAATCTTAGCAACGAGATGAATAACTCTTCCATTGGAGTATCAACTTCATTCGTTCTCAGCACTTGCCTGTTTATTTATTTATTGTAATATTAATTCGGAATGGTTGAACGAACGTTATAGCATTCTCAACGTGAACTGACCAAGCCATGATATTATCTAATCTCTTCACAGAAATATCGTTATCCTATTCAGAAATTATGAAGAAAGTGTTGAACGATTGAACTAGTTTGCTGGATCTTGAGACGTATATTTTGTGGAACTACATTAGATTGGATTTCTAACGATATATCAACACCATTCCAGTTTTTTCCTCAGAGTGAAACAATATCAAAACGATAAGAAGAGCAATGGACAATATCAAGTTGCAACAAGAGTGTACAAGTAATCCACAACATTGGTCAACATGTAATCCTTCATCACGACACAAGTTGTTGTAGTGATTTTGAAGGGATTGAACAATATTCTTTGGCATCTATTTTAAAAAAGGACTGTATGGATGAGACAAGATTTCATCATAGTTTGTTTGTTTCGTTGTGACAACAATTATCACTTGACGAACTTAATTGGGAATACTAATTAATCATTAATGCTTTTGATAATGAGAAGCTTGGCGTCATCATGGTACTATGAGTCCTTGACACAACCTTGAACAATAATTTTCCTCTTGCAATTGCCACTGATGCGGGTTTGGATTCCTCTCAGTAGGATTTTTAGAAAGATTCAATATAACAATATATAATTTGTTTTTAATACCAATTAGTCCCACGTAGAGAGGAAGGAGGTATTAAGCGAAAGATTTCTTGTTGTTATAGTGGATATCGAGATAGCCTCTATATTTGTACCAAAAAAATCAGGTCCTGTGGTGGTTGACCATCCTCAAAAATTATCGTTGAATGATCAAAACTTGAATATTTCCATCAATTAAGATATAAGGAAGTAAGGCGCTGCTGTTTCGTTCGAGCTGAATGTGAAAATAGTTAAATATTTTGTGCGTCCAAGTAGGTGATGTGTAACTCTTGAAGTTGGTCATAATTTAAACATGGACGAGCAAAAGTCGGTATTCCCTCGAAATTGGATACCGTTAACGTTGATTGAAGAGTCGTTTCGTGATATGTTGGTCTTGAACAGCTTCCATGATGGATCTCCAAAGTAATTGTTGCTGTGAACCACTTTTGATGATTATACACCCTCAATAAAATCAGCCATAATTCATTGATGCTGTTTTCTTCATGGATGGAACATTGAATTATCGTTATTGAGTCCTATCCCGAAACATTGTTATGGAATCTTAATGCGAGTGAGTCTTTTTGATGACTGAATCATTGAAATTGAGTTGAGTTCCTATTGGTAGTTGTGAGTGATGAAAGTTGCTACTGTTCTACATTATCATCGTAAAATGTATACCAGACACAAATGAACATTATTGAATTCATTTAAGACGATAGAGGGAGGTGTGTTCTTGTTTTTCTGTGTTTAACTTTATTCAATGAAAAGACTTGTATTGATCATGATGAGATTGGATCTAAACAATGCTTTGAATTCGACAACGCTTCATCAAGGGTGGTGATTTATTCACTAAATGTCATGAGTACAAACCAGGAATTGAACAGAATAACCTCTGGTTCATACCTGATTGAAATTTGAACAGTTCCTTTTTCATGTATTGATTATTGAGTGACTCCGATTGTTTGGTAGTTGTTGTTATTGTTGAACATTGAGTGCCCTCATCTTAATAGTGGTATGAATAGCCGGTGGACATGTCCTGTAATTTTGCGCGTCCAAGTAGGTGATGTTAACTCTTGGAGTTTGTTATGATTTTAAAATGGACGAGCAAAAATTCGTTAATACATTCCCTCCAAAACGATTACGGATGAACCCTTCACAAACAACAGCAGGAATGGTTCAGTGTTATACTGTTCAGCAAGTAAGTGATGGAATCATGATCGATACAATTTCACAATTTAAACTTGTATTCGTCCTGGTCTGCAACAATTTTGGATCTTCCATCGAATGAATTCAATGTTTAATGATACATTCATCAGTATGTCATGAGATTCTAACTCTGATAGATGTACTTGATCACTGAGTGTTTATTCTTGTGTCATCTGTATCGAGTTGGTGGAGCGCTCTCATCTGTTGAATGATTCATTGCAAGAAGTGACCTTGTTGTATTTTGCGTTTGGTTGCTGTGATTCATTGTTGAAAACAAATGTTCAATATGATGATTTTCATGATTTGTGTATGTACTACATGGATGGTGTGCAAGGTGTGTTCATGTTTGTGGTCGTCATCTCATTTATTGAATTTCGTTCAGCAAGTGATCGTGTCGATAGTTGATGGATTGTATTATTTTGAATAAATTATGATGAACTGTATTGATAGTGATCATCTTTATGTGTGTTTCAAGTGTTTTGTTTGATTCATTTGACTAATCTCTACATACTGTACTGACCATAACATTTGGCGGATGAAACAAAAGATGAAAATG